ACCTGAGTGCAAAAATGGAGGCTCTAGACCCTTCCAGAGCTGAGATATCGAAATTCAAAATTTCGACCCGAAAAAAAAACGACAGTGTTACCCCTTTCGTTTTTTTTCGTTTTTGGGCGAAAAATTAAGTTTCTCCAATCTTCTCAAAACTCTGGATTCTGATAGAGGGCCATGAGACTTTGACCTGAGTGCAAAAATGGAGGCTCTAGACCCTTCCAGAGCTGAGATATCGAAATTCAAAATTTCGACCCGAAAAAAAAACGACAGTGTTACCCCTTTCGTTTTTTTTTCGTTTTCGGCCGAAAAATTAAGTTTCTCCAATCTTCTCAAAACTCTGGATTCTGATAGAGGGCCACGAGACTTTGACCTGAGTGCAAAAATGGAGGCTCTAGACCCTTCCAGAGCTGAGATATCGAAATTCAAAATTTCGACCCGAAAAAAAAACGACAGTGTTACCCCTTTCGTTTTTTTTCGTTTTTGGCCGAAAAATTAAGTTTCTCCAATCTTCTCAAAACTCTGGATTATGATAGAGGGCTGTGAGACTTTGACCTGAGTGCAAAAATGGAGGCTCTAGACCCTTCCAGAGCTGAGATATCGAAATTCAAAATTTCGACCCGAAAAAAAAACGACAGTGTTACCCCTTTCGTTTTTTTTTCATTTTCGGCCGAAAAATTAAGTTTCTCCAATCTTCTCAAAACTCTGGATTATGATAGAGGGCTGTGAGACTTTGACCTGAGTGCAAAAATGGAGGCTCTAGACCCTTCCAGAGCTGAGATATCGAAATTCAAAATTTCGACCCGAAAAAAAAAAACGACAGTGTTACCCCTTTCGTTTTTTTTTCGTTTTTGGCCAAAAAATTAAGTTTCTCCAATCTTCTCAAAACTCTGGATTCTGATAGAGGGCTGTGAGACTTTGACCTGAGTGCAAAAATGGAAGCTCTAGACCCTTCCAGAGCTGAGATATCGAAACTCAAACATTCGACCCGAGAAAAAAAAAACGACAGTGGAACCCCTTTCGTTTTTTTTTTGGGGGGGAGGCGAGAAATTAAGGTTCTCCAATCTTCTCAAAACTCTGGATTCTGATAGAGGGCCATGAGACTTAGACCTGAGTGCAAAAATGGAGGCTCTAGGCCCTTCTACAGCTGAGATATCGAAACTCAAAAATTCGACCCGAAAAAAAAAAACGACAGTGGTACCCCTTTGGGTTTTTTTTTTTTTTGGGGCGAAAAATTAAGTTTCTCCAATCTTCCCAAAACTCTGGATTCTGATAGAGGGCCATGAGACTTAAACCTGAGTGCAAAATGGAGGCTCTAGACCCTTCCAGAGCTGAGATATCAAAACTCTAAAATTCGACCCGAAAAAAAAACGACAGTGGTACCCCTTTCGGGTTTTTTTTTTTCGGGCGAAAAAACAAGTTTCTACAATCTTCTCAAAACTCTGGATTCTGATAGAGGGCCATGAGACCTAGACCTGAGAGCAAAAATGGAGTCTCTAGACCCTTCCTGAGGTGAGATATTGAGATCCCTTGTAGCATTTATGACAGACTCCATTTTTGCACTCAGGTCTAAGTCTCATGGCCCTCTATCAGAATCCAGAGTTTTGAGAAGATTGGAAAAAGTGCAGTAAAGTGCAGAGTGCAGTAAAATAGTTATCACGACAGGAACTTTAGTTAAAATGTCTATCAAATATACTACCCAAACCCCATTCAATAGATTGCAAGTGGGATGGTGTCCAACATAAAAATGGTATGAAACTCATACAGGTTGGAGCAACATGAGGGTGAGTAAGTGATGACAAATATAATTTGTGGTTGAACTATACCTTTAAAGGCATATTTCACCCAAAAATTTAAATTAGCCCATGATTTAATCACTCTGGCCACTAGCCATCCTTGGTGTATATGACATTCTTGTCTCAGACGAAAACAATCAGAGTTATATTAAACAATGTCCTGGCCCTTCCAAGCTTTATATTGGCTGTAAATGGTTGTTTCTGTTTTGAAAGTCCATAAAAGTGCATCTATCCATGATACAAGTGTATCTATCCATCATAAAAGTGCATCTATCCATGATAAAAGTGCATCTATCCATAAAAAATCTATATTAATATAAAATATTTAAAATATTCATATTTAAGTTGCGCATTAGATTTAAGTCAAATCCATATGTTCTTTTGGCCGGAAGTTATTTTACTTTATAAAGTTTTGAATATGGATATTTTTCTTACATCTCCATCTTCCTCATTACACCACATAAAGTCAACATCTGAGATATTTCCATCAGCTATATGTTCAAGCATTTCAGAACTGTATATTCTGCACATGAAAAAGTTTCAAAAATGTATCTGTACTGTTATATATATATATATATATATCTCAAAGAAATTTCAATCAGCATCACTGAAAATGTGACTTCAGTAACAGGCTTTCAAACCTACTGTCCATTCTAATGGACAGACACATTTAAAAAAATCCTGATTTAAAACGTGCAATTCTACAGTCGATTAATAAGTTCAATCTTTCTATTTTACATGCAAACTATGAAATACTGGCAAAAATATATACAAAATGTAAATACACCTTAGAAAATGTTGCTTGCTTCTGTGTTTGGAGTGAAGTGCTGCCATGCTTCTCTTCAATGTAGAGGTTTTTTTATATAATTACTACATGCAGAGCTTTACTGGCATTTAATTGGATGACAAACGTCCAATCTCATGGACTGCAGGCGTTAAACTAGGTGAAATGCTCCAGAAGTTAAAAAAAGGGGGCTGACATCATGTGATATCCATTGTAATGGACACAGGGTTTAAAGAAGCACATAAATGTGAACTTCTTTCCTCAAAGCCTTTCGATGTTGCAACAGTGTGCTAGTTTTGATCCTTTGAGATCCTTGCTGAGGAAGGCCCAAGGCACTGGATTCTTGCTGATGAAACTGTAGTGGTTGTAGACTCACACCGGCTCACCGGGGTGGAAACGTTCTCCGGTTCAGTAAATGTAATTTCTCCTTTGGGTCATTGCCTGACTGCAGGACTGCTGAGGTGGTTCGCTCAACATGCTTTCATGCAGAAAAGCTAAACATTCTTGATTCTTCTTTATTTCAGAAAGTGTTTCATCTTTGTTTGGAGCTTTTGCTTTATTAAAATGACAGCACATTGTGGGACTGGATTTAAGTTACAGTATATTGTCATTTTTATGTGGCTCTATAGACCTTATTCCCAGCATCGCCATCTTTGATTTTTTACAGGAATAAAAATTAGGCTGTGAGGGATTGTGCTGTTATTTTATGTTTTTAATTTTTCTGCTGATGAAACTACAAAACTGCAAAAATGTCTTTCAAAGAAAACAAAAACATGAGCCATGTAAAATGTAATCTAGTAAGAGCATTTATAAAGCTTTTTTACAACTGATTCCATTGAAAACACAATAAGTCTATCCCTCATACTAGCCTCGCTTTCATGGCTGCTCTTATTAAGGTCTATGGAATCTATTATTGACTCAGATTATTTCCTAATATACGCCGTCGTCCAAGACAATCTGCGCTACTTTCACGTCTCTCGTATCACACGACAGGCTCGCGCTCTCGTCAACTGGCGGCCTCTTGCATCTCAGTAGTGAAAATGAGTCCCATCATGCAGTGAGTGAACATGACTCTTGTAGGCTTGCTACGCTAGTCGGTGTTACCGGTGTTCAGTCGCAACACCGGTTTCACGACATGCCCACCGCGGTTGGCATGTGAAACAAAAAAAAAGTTTAAAGCCTTAAAAATATTGAACGCAATGACGCAGTAGTCGTTAAATTCTGCCTATTAACACACACGACCCACAGAAAAGACGCGCGTCGGTATCGAGTTCTCTTTCGGGCTTGAACAAACCACCATAACACACAAATTATGCCAAAATGTCCATAAGAGCAGTCTTAAATGAACGTAGAGATTTAACGGACGTAGAGATTTGTGAGAAAATGGGACGCGTGTCAGATCGCGTCTCTGTCAGCAACGGCCGAATTCGCTCACTCGTTTTTACTTACTCCTTCTCATTCACTCCTTCAAGTGAACAGTATTAGTGGACTAATGTAGGGAATAGGCCTAGTAAATGAGGGTTTAGGGGGCGATTTCGGATTCAACCCATGTTCTCAAGCAGTGAAAAATAGAGGACACTGACAACGCATTGACAGACAGGACCGTGCAGGTAATATTTAATATTAAACAGTCTCAACTTTCAAATTTGGTCAGTCAAAGAAAATCAAACAATAAATAGGCCTACCGTTTTGTGGCTCTTTAATGTGTCATGTCAGATTGCCTGATAAAGCCAAGTTCCACCGACGTTAATCTATAATTCTCCTGACTGCTTTGTCGGACAAAAATGGTGGATTTTCAGATGGTCAGATCACATGTCTGTCAATCAAAAGTTAGTTTCGTTTTCAAACTAGCGCATATTCAGGGCACAATAACAAAACAGTTCTTTCCCACACTACCACACCGTTATGTATGCCCGTGAAAACGTGCACATTTTACGTTTGCCTTTAAATTGGCGATTTAAAAGCCCCTGCTGGTGACACCGGTATTACCGGTGTTGTCACACGTCAATTAACCGGTGAGAAAATATCCTCACCGTAACAACCCTTGACTCTAGCACTTTGTGTTAAAGGTGCATTTGGTAGAAATAAATTAAATATAGGTGGCCTTAGACGCTGCACTGCCATCTATCAACGTATGGAAGAACGATTGTCTATAACGTTACATTTTCAGTAAAATACACTGATACTGCTGTTACTGATACTGCGGTCTAACTGTTACATGCAATAATGAATTATCTTACCTGTTCAGCAACAAGAAGTAACTTGGTCTCATTCCACCTTGTTTATAACGTATGGACTCCTCCGATATCAGTCAGTTCCGAACCATTTCTCTCCTAAGTGTTGAATGCAAGGTATTCTTTTCTGTCCTGGCAAAAATGATGACTACCTACATGGTGAAGAATAAATATGTTGACACATAAATCCAGAAGGGCATCATTCCAGGTTTCTCTGGGTGCTTGGAACATACGGGCATCCTCAACCAGCTGATCCGGGAGGCCAAGGGGAACAAAGAAAACCTAACGGTTGTCTGGCTCGACTTGGCTAACGCATACGGTTCAATCCCGCATGGCCTCATTAATATGGCTATGGAACACTACCATATCCCCCACCACATCAGGGGTATAATTACCAGCTACTTCGGAGGATTTAAACTTCGGTTCAAAACTGACCAGTTTACAACTCACTGGCAGGACCTTGGAAAGGGAATTGTGACAGGTTGTACCATCTCCCCCATCCTGTTTGTCATGGGAATGAACCTGCTTATAACAGCTGCAGGAAAGGAATCCAGAGGGCCAACAATGGATTTCGGCATCCAACCTCCGATAAGAGGCTTTTTGGATGACCTTACCATAACAACTTCAACCCATGTGCAAGCAAGATGGATCCTGAAGGCACTTGATGATGAACCTGGGCTAGGATGAAGTTTAAACCAAGGAAATCAAGAAGTATGGTGATCTGAAGCGGGAAAGTGACCAGCAAGTTCCAGTTGCGAGTACAGGGGGAGATGATCCCATCAATTAAGGAAAACCCAATTAAGTGCCTAGGGAAATGGTACGATGCATCCTTGACCGACAGATGCAACGTTTCTAGGACAAAGAAACAGGCAGATGAATGGCTGAGCAAGATCGAGAGGTCAGGTCTGCAAGGGAAGTTCAAGACCTGGCTCTTCCAACAATGGTCTGTTACCATGACTGATGTGGCTACTGACACTTTATGAAGTACCTATGACAGCAGTGGAAGTAGTCGAGAGGCGAGTGAATAAACATCTTCACAAGTGGCTCGGAATCCCACCAAGCTTTACGTCGGTTGGGCTATATACCAGGTCTGGTCAGGTACAGCTACCCCTAGTTCAAGTTCAAGGTGGCAAAGTGCTGGGTTGCGATGATGTACCAAGACTCCGCTGATGAAAAAGTCAGAAAAGCAGGCGTCACTACGAGATCAGGACGCAAATGGGCGGCTGACACATCAGTGGCACAAGCGGTAAGCACATTGGAGCTGAAGGACATCATCGGGAACCCATGCATAGGGAGGCAAGGACTTGGGTCTGCCCACTTCCAGCAGTGGGGTAAAGCAGACCCAAGGCAAAGGAGGGACATGATCCAAGCCGAGGTCCGACACCTGGAGGAAGAAAGGCGCATGTCCAAGGCTGTCGAACTTGGAGCACAAGGTGCCTGGACAAAGTGGGACCTGCCGAAGCGGAAGATCACGTGGCCTGAGATCTGGAGACTGGAGCCCTTTCGCATCTCCTTCTTGCTGCGTTCAGTGTACGACACCCTTCCATCACCAACAAACCTCCACAGGTGGGAGGTTTGTTGGTGATGGAAGGGTGTCGGTGATGGAAGGGTGTCTTCGACTACAAGAAGTAGTCGAAGAAGAACGTCCTCAATTCAGTTCTCGCGCATGCGTTCTGGAAATCTCTTCAATTCTCGTTTCAAGACCCATAAGGAAGTAATGGAATAGTCGAATAAAGTCGTTATTTGTTTTCGCATAAAAAGTATTCTCGTCGCTTGATAAACTTATAATAGAGCCGCTGTAGGCACATGGAATGTTTAAACATTTTCTTTAATGACTTTATGGGCCGTCAAGTGCTAGTCCCTTAGGAAGTCTATGGAGGAGGGATTCAGCTCTCAAATTTAATCAAAAATATCTTCATTTGTGTTCTGAAGATGAACGAAGGTCTTACGGGGTTGGTACAGCATGGGGGTGAGTAATTAATGACTTAATTTTCATTTTTGGGTGAACTAACCTTTTAAAATTCAAAGGAAATTTTGTTTTCATTTACTCACCCTCAAGTTATTTCAAACCTGTGTGTATTTGTTTCCTCTGCTGAACACAAAAGAAGATATTTTAAAGAATGTCGGTAACTAAATACTTGATGGACCCCATTTACTTCCATAGTATTTATTCCTACAATGAAAGTCAATGGGGTCCATCAACTGTCTAGTTACTGACAATCTTGAAAATATTGTCCTTTCTGTTCGGCAGAAGACAGAAATTAACACAGGTTTGAAACAACATGATGGTAAATGATGACAGAGTTTTAATTTTTAAGCGAACTACTCATTTAACTTGTGGCTAAGTTTATGCACGTTACATTGGCCATCTTGGAGGACATCTTGGATCTTACAACCACACACAGTGGACATGTTGTGGACGCAACATTGTGGAAGCAGCTTTCTTTCTCACATCTTCAGAAAATATCAACATATAGTTTGAATTAAAAACCCCAAAACTGTATTATTCTGTATTAAAAACGTAGCTTATTCTATTATACATGTTGCTGACAAGTATTTGGAGTCCAGTATTAAAAGGAATAGCATTAGTGTCTATATGCCATCACTCCTCTCTAAAATAATTGGAGTATTTCCTCTTTAATTGAGCGAATACAGGTGAAAGCAAATACGGGTGAGAGAGAGCAGCTGTTGAGGTGGGTCTCATAAATTGAAATTGACGTAGCACAAAGAGAATGGAACATAATTGAGCTCAGCACGTCTAACAGCGATTCCAAAGCAAGCTGCTGACACAAGCAATTTGACATCACAGAGCCTCATGACTACAACGTTCATACGAAACGAGGCCGGACCCTGTCAGGAGGAATCGATGCTGTGCTGACCTCGGTTTGAGTACCAATTAATTGACAACTGCCATTTTTATGGCAGAGATGTCTGTAGCACATATGATCATATGTCGGATGAAATGTCACAGCAGGGGTCTTTGTAACAGTAAGATTTTGGCTTCCTAACAGCTTCGGGATAATAGTGGGGTTACAACTGCTCCACCCAATCAAACCCAAAGCCTGTGTGATTTTTCCTCCGCCAGCCGCTGTGTTTACACAGAACATTCTGTGAGATGTAGCTAGGCAACCAGTCAGCCTCTGCCATCTCTCTTTCTTTCTCTTGAGAGGGAGCTTATGTGGGCTTAGCTCTAGAGGAACAGTGGCCCTTTGCAGCGAAGAAGGGAATTACCATGGAAAACACTGGATTGTGCCCGCACACAAAGGGCAAAAGAGGGAGGCTAACATAGGAGACTGGTTCTGCAGTGCGGGATAGACCGGCATCATTACTCGGAGTCAATTCTGTCATGCGTCGCTAAATCTACAGGATAGAGTACAGAGTGCTTTGTTATATACAAGCGGGGCATCAGGGGAGAATTTTGACCTTTTGCTCGAACGTGAATAGCTTTAGGTTTCCGACTTTTTTGCCTTATTATGTGATCACTTGTCTTTCTCTTTGGAAGGTGCTAGGAGACAGAATGAGCTACTTGTAGCCTAGAAGCATTAACTCAATCGATGCCATCTTGCCTTGCCAACTGTCATGAGTTTAACTCTTAAACCTGTGTATATCCAGGAGGGATAACTGTGGCTGTAACTGGCTGAGTTTGAAAACTAAGCCTAACTCTGAAGTGTTTTAATCTATCCCTACTGCTCAGATCGACAGGAAAGAAAATGAGTCTAAATCGTAGTTCCTCCAAACAGTGACTGAAAAAAACAGTAACTGGCTGGAGTCATATTAAAAAAAAAAAAAGTTAGAAAACTTCCCTTTAAATGCAGGAACTTGCAATTGCATGACATTGCAATTTATGGGTAATTATATTTGATTATCTGCAACAAACTATCATTATTGTTTAGCAGCATCAACCCAGAAGCAACGTCATAATGAACACAGGTCTACAGTGCCATCTAGTGTACAACAAGAGAACAACAATGTGTGAGGGAAGTAAAACTTTGAGATAGGGTGACCAATATAATATATATATATATATTGGTCACCCTACCTCAAAGTTACAGCCACAGTTATCCCTCCTGAATATACATAGGTTTAAGAGTTAAACTCATGACAGATATATAAAATTAAGCATAAAACCTAGTGATAAATGTTATATCAAAAATAACACTCAGTACAACAACCTAAAATGGTGAGCAAGGGAACATGTATGAGCGATGATGCAAACGGATCAGGAGTCATGTATTTGAATAATTAGTGAACAGTCTAAACTAACCTATTTGCTTTAAATGAATATAGCAACTAGGAATTCGTATACCTTTACTTGTTATTTTATAAAACCACACCACCAAGTATTTTATAGAAACTTTGTCCACTTTTATTTCTTAAAACATCTTTATAAAAACACAAATATAAAATGAATGGGTAGTTCCACTGTGAATTCTTTTTTTTACATAGGTAATTTGCACATTACAAAGCCACCTTCTATGAAAAACATAAGATATATAACTGCAATTTTCTTTTAACACAATTTAAAGAGTAAAATTCATAAGGGGCAGGGAACTTAAAACAAGGCAAAATAAAAGACTTAAAAGAAAACATAAAAGTCAGCTCGCAAAAGAAAAAGGAAAATGTATCACTGTATGTGTGAGTATGTGAGACAGTGACAGAAAGTGAGAAAGAGCGATAAAGAAACATGAAAAGGGAATGACAAAGAAAATGATAATAACAGTAAAAAATACACAAAAAGAATGAGGGAGTGAGCCCTAAAGACTGAAATGAGGGAAGGGCATGGGCTATCTGCTATTTGAGAAGGGCTCGGTAGAGCAGTTGTGAGTGGCTGGTGCTTCTCTCGTTCTCTAGACAGAAGAGCAGATCCCTGAGGTTTACACGCGTGATGCGATGGCGAGTGAACTGCCTCGACACTCCTGCATTTAAGCCCCCGGATGCACTTGCGCACAAACCTGAGCCCTGTCAACATAGACACAAACTTTGACATTGGTGCTAAACTGTTTGAACCAACATCTTTTAAACTGATATTGGTAGAAAAAAATTATTAAATTAAATTAAATTAAAAGAGTTATACAATAGTGACAAGTCTTTAAAAATATTTCTGTGAATTATAATATAATTTAAATATAAAATAAAATATAAAATAAAATATAAATATAACATATAAAAGCATAAATAAACAATTAAAATAATCCCGAATTAAAATTTACAAGTATATTTTTAAATTTGTGAATTTTAAAGGGGAAATATGATATAATATAATATAATATAATAATAGTGTAAGTTCTGAGGAAGAAAATAACTTTAGGTAAGAATGAATATTACAAAAAAAAAAATTTAAATATATCAGAATATAAATATTAAATAAACTAATTTAAAACAAAAAGAACATGATACAGAATTCTATTTTTTAAATATTTAAAATTGTGCTTTTTTTTTTAAAGTGAATGATATATATTATTCGGTTTTATTGATATATATATTAGGGCTGTGCAAAAGTTAATTGCGATTAATCGCATCCAAAATAAAAGTCTGTGTTTACATAATATATTTGTGTGTGCTGTATATAATTGTTTTGTATATATAAATACCTGTGCATGCATGTATATATTTAAGAATTATTTGCACTTAAATTATGTATATATTTATAAATACATAATCTATATTATATAAATATTTTATATATG